AGCGCCCAGAGCCTCAGCGCCCAGAGCCAGAGCCTCAGCGCCCAGAGATACGCCGCGCTGGCCCGGGTGGCTCTGGCCCGGGTCATCCTCTTCAACCGGAGGAGGAGCAAAGAGGTGGCCTCCATCCCCGTGGAGGCCTTCGCCTCAAGGAAGCGGCCGCAGGTAGGGATGGGGATCGAAACCCGGCTCTATCAAGGACCCGGTTCCACTCTTTTCAAAACCCGAAAATCAATAACGTTTGGGCTTATCGGTACCACTATCGACTCTGGTCGTTTTTGTATTATTACAATAGTAATTGTGAAATCCCTGTTGTAATTGGCAGCATACAAGCTAGTTATTTATAAAAAATTACATTTAATTTAAAATATAATTATTTATTTGCTAAATATTGTTGCATCGTCTTTCCACCGAATAACAGAAAAGTATCGATAGTGGTATCGATAAAGACTCATATCGATAAAGGTATCGATATCAATAAATAATAACGATCCCCATCCCTAGGCGGACGCGCTGGAGGACCTGGACCCCAGCGTCTCGGGTCTGGAGAGGACCCTGTGCGGGTTCTTCCCCCGGGTGGAGGTCCGGGGCAGCTCGGGGAGGATGCTGCCCGTTCTGCTCAGGCCCTGTCTGGAGTCGTCCCTGGAGCTGCTGGTGGGGTCGCGCGCGGCGTGCGGCGTCTCCCGCGGCAACCCCTTCGTCTTCGGCCGGCCCGGCGCGCCCACCGCCTACAGCGGCTCCGCCTGCGTCCAGATGTTCGTCAGCCAATGCGGCGCCGAGCGCCCCGCCGGCCTCACGGCCGTCAGCATCCGCCGGCACTACGCCGCCGCGGCGCAGCTCCTGCAGCTGGACGAGGGCGAGGCCGCGCGGATATTCGGCCCCGACCACCAGATCCACGTCCTGAGACAGGACGCCATGTGTGACGACGCGCACGCCCAGTCCCTAGGTGAGCACTCCGGCTTTGTGGTAGTAACCTTACTAACATGAACAGAACAAAACGATAGAATAACGATTAGCATTAGCATCTCTTAACCTGTGTCCTAACCATTAAGTTGTTATCAGAGTAATTCCCGGTCCCGAGTCTGACAACTAAGTAAGTAGATAAATAACTTTAAACTTTAATACATGCTTTGGTAGGCCGGGATCGGGATCGGATATGAAGTGAAAAAAGCTGGATTGGGACATCCCTAATATTTGCCACCAAGAATGGCCTAATTCCATCTTCGCTTGTAGCAAAATTAGACAGTTCTTCAAAAGGGTTTTGAAGCCAAGGGTTTGTTTTCGGTGTTCAGTCATCCTGGAAAGTTCAAGTTCGCGCACGCCCAGTCCCTAGGTGATCACTCCAGCTTTGTGGTAGTAACCTTACTAACATGAACAAAACGAAACGATAGATACGAAAGATAAAAAGACCTATCTTTGCTACAAATGGTTCCTTATAGGCTGGTCCCGATCCGATATTTGGTTTGGATCGGCCGCCGATATTTGCAAAAAATGCGTATCGGCCGGCAGGAGAAAATACAGATCCAGACTCAGGATCCAGTTTTTTTTTTTTTAAGTCCGATCCCACATTAGCATTAGCATAAGCATCTCATAACCCACAGGTCTGTGTCCTAACCATTAAGTTGTTATCAGAGAAAATCCCTGTTCAATATGAGTCTGACAACTAAGTAAGTAGATAAAGAACTTTAAGTTTTCATACATAATCTGATTGGCCGGGATCAGATCGGATATGAAGTGAAAAGATTGGACATCCCTAATATTTGCCACCAAGAATGGCCTAATTCCATCTTCGCTTGTAGCAAAATTAGACAGTTCTTCAAAAGGGTTTTGAAGCCAAGGGTTTGTTTTCAGTGTTCAGTCATCCAGGTCCTGGTCAAGTTTGGAAAGTTCAAGTTCGCCCAGTCCCTAGGTGATCACTCCAGCTTTGTAGTAGTAACCTTACTAACATGAACAAAACAAAACGATAGATACGAAAGATAACAAGACCTATATTTGCTACAAATGGTTCCTTATAGGCTGGTCCCGATCCGATATCTGGATCGGATCGACCGGCAGGAGAAAATGCAGATACAGACTCCAGATCCAGTTTTTTTTTTAAGGCTCTGATAGGCCGGGATCAGATCGGATATGAAATGAAAAAAGCTGGATCGGGACATCCCTAATATTTGCCACCAAGAACGACCAAATTCCATCTTGGCTTGTAGCAAAATTAGACAGGTTGGAAAGGTTTTTGAAGCCAAGAGTTTGTTTTCTGTGTGGCAAATTTGAATAAGTATATAGAAAGGAATCTGTGAAGATTTTTAGTCATCCAGGTCCTGGTCAAGCTTGGAAAGTTCAGTTTAGGCAACTGGAGGTGAAGTTTTCTAGAAGACGTTTGGCCTCTGATCCAAGAGGCTTCATCAGTTCTAACTGATGGTGGAGCTCTGAGGTTAATTTACTGTAGGTGGAACAATAGAATACAAACAATACCTGAATGAATTGAGTGGGGGAAAAATAACTAAACGTGGCTCTGATCCCTCCTATTGGATGGGCCTTAGAGGTCACCTGGGAAGGAATGTGTATTTTATCCAGAGAGTCCACAGATAATTGCTGACATTGGGTCTGTGAGGTAAAACCAATACCGGTCTCCCTGTTTTTGTCTCTACAGTGAGATTGAAGCTTGGGGAAGGACAGCATGGCTCATATGGCGAAACGGCTCAAACGTCTGACTCATTAAGGAAACGAGGTCAAGACCGTTCTGCCCTTTTTATTTCCACCGTTTTTGCCTTGTGTGTTCCCGTTTTGGTTTTGCAGCTCGCTCCTGTTTCGGCTTTTACAGACTCCCACCACAGGGCCAAACTGAAGTGGGAGGAAGAGGAGGTGCGAGCCGTGGAGAGCCACCTGATGAGGCTGATTCGGGAGGGCCGGGTGCCCCAGAAGAGCGACTGCGTTCGGTGCCTGGAGGCTGAACCGCGGGCGCTGAGGGCGCGCTCCTGGAGAGGAATCAAGGACTACGTCAGGAACAGGATCACCACCCTGCAGAGGCAAGAGGGCTCCCTCAGGAAACCCTCCAACGGCAGTAAGAGGCAGGAGGAGCCCCAGCAGAGGACAGGTGACCTACAGCTAGGGTTGTCAAAAGTATCTCTCTGATTTATTTATTTATTTATTTATTTACGTTGTTTATGATCATTAACTTGACGTTAGCCTTGAATTGCTAGCTGCGGCTAATGGCTAGCAATAACACGCCAACATTAATCAAAGCAGAGGACAGGTGACCTACAGCTAGGGTCGTCAAAAGTATCAACACTCAAAAAATTTTAGATACTAAAACGTTGTATCCGGATACGATACTCATTGTCAAAAGTATCGATACCCCCCCTTTCTCTCCGATTTATTTATTTACGTTTTTTATGATCATTAGCATGACGTTAGCCTTGAATTGCTAGCTGTGGCTAATGGATAATAACAACACGCCAACATTAATCAAGTCTGCAGGAAGCCAAGGACGGATATCCAACTCCCCCACATCCAAGTCGGCCATTTTGATTAGGTCACCAATAGGAAGATCCCAGGCAAGAAAATCCTAATTGCTTCATGGCAATATAGACATTCATTTAAAAATAGTTAAATTAATCTAGAAAACACTGAATTCAACTCTATACATAATATTATGTTAAAATAGTGGATGTTAAATAGGTTTGTACAATAAGTCCAAACAAGTTTAACCAAAAAATATTTATTTCTCACAATTATGAAGGGTTAGGGTTAGGGTTAGGGTTCTTTGATGTGGATCAGGTGTGTTGAAACAGGGAAACCTCAGACACCTGCAGGACAGCGGCCCAGAGAGGTGTGGAGTTTCAGACCCCTGGTTTAAACACTGCAAACCCATCAAGACATTCTCAACTTCTAGACCAGCAGGATCTTTTTTATCCACTACAACGATATTTCGGATTGTTCAGGGGACGGGGAAGTTACTTAAGAGGACCCCTGACATGTTTTGTTTCTCATGTCGTTTGTTCAGATTAACTCATTGGCTGCCAAAGACGTCTATAGACGTCTTTTATGTTTTTCAACAAGAGTGGCTGGGGGACGATCTGCTAAAGCTTGTCCATAAATATCAGGCTTCTAGACAGAGTATGTAGTAACAAATTGACCCTCTAGGGGGCAGTGTCACTTTTGATGGGAGATGAGCATAGACTGTAGGCAAATAAGAAAAAGGTAACGGTTCGCTAAGAAGAGAGTCTGCTCTTTCTTTTGGTGTGTTCGGTGTTTACATAGTCATAGCACAAACTATTCTGTGGCTCTTGAAAAATCAGTCAAAACGCTCAAAAAACTCTGGCAGTGTGGGACTCTCTGTTCTGAAAATGTCTGGCAGTCAATGAGTTAAGGAGAGATGGAATGAAGTTTTTTTTAAAAAATTTTTTTGCCTACATCTATAGCATTGTTTGGGTTCATCTCTCTGTTTTCTGTCTCCATCACAGAGTCTTCCAAAGTGAAGCTAAAGTGGGAGGAAGAAGAGGTGCGTGCGGTGGAAAGACACCTGATGAGCTACATCGAGGAGCAGGAGGTGCCCCCGAAAAGCGACTGCGTTCGGTGCCTGGAGGCGGAGCCGCGGGCGCTCAGGACCCGCTCCTGGAGAGGAATCAAAGACTACGTCAGGAACAGGATCACCACCCTGCAGAGGCAAGAGGGCTCCCTC